TTACTAAGTGCTGAAGTCAGGCGTAATCACAAAGCCAGCTTCGTAGTATATCCCCCAGGTCCCAGCAGCTCTGATGATACTGCCCTCCAAACGACATTCAGTGAAGAATATCCGACCCTTCTCTGTCGTGCGAGGTCTTTTAAGCATTTAAGGGTTCCAATTGATATGTGTATTTCATGATACGAGGAGAGAATTTCAAGAATGACACTATGTGTATGTCCCTTGTTGAAGTATTGCGCTATCAACTCCAGCTCCTCTTCCATCCTGGTAAACACTTGAAATTTCGCGCTGGCTCTGCGGTATCCAGTGTAAACAGGAAATGATAAATGACTGATGCCGGACAGACTTGGGTTTAGCCAATCACAAACAAGTACCATAGTCCTACCCTTTCCGGTTTCGTGACATGTATTTTGTGATCTGTGAAATGTATTTGTGTTCTCTGAAATGTATTTTTGTTCTGTGAAATGTATTTGTGTTCTGTGAAATTTATTTTTGTTCTGTGAAATTTATTTGTGTTCTGTGAAATTTATTTTTGTTCTGTGAAATTTATTTGTGTTCTGTGAAATTTATTTTTGTTCTGTGAAATGTATTTTTGTTCTGTGAAATGTATTTGTGTTTTGTGAAATTTTTTTTGTGTTTTGTGAAATGTATTTGTGTTTTGTGAAATATATTTGTGTTTTGTGAAATATATTTTTGTTCTGTGAAATGTATTTGTGTTTTGTGAAATGTATTTGTGTTTTGTGAAACGTATTTGTGTTTTGTGAAATATATTTGTGTTTTGTGAAATATATTTTTGTTCTGTGAAATGTATTTGTGTTCTGTGAAATTTATTTGTGTTCTGTGAAATATATTTGGGTTTTGTGAAATATATTTGTGTTTTGTGAAATGTATTTGTGTTTTGTGAAATATATTTGTGTTTTGTGAAATATATTTGTGTTTTGTGAAATGTATTTGTGTTTTGTGAAATATATTTGTGTTTTGTGAAATGTATTTGTGTTCTGTGAAATATATTTGTGTTTTGTGAAATGTATTTGCGTTTTGTGAAATATATTGGGGTTTTGTGAAATATATTTTGCGCTTTTGAAATATTTATTACTATTGCTCTTCAGGGCCACCGTACTGACAGCAATAAATAACATGAATTTTGAAAAAGGACTGAAAAAGATCTGTAGCTGCTGTCATCCTGTATAAACGCCACCCAATCGCAACGTTGCGGTCTGGTTGGAGAGAACCAATGACATGCCTCCTCGCCTCCCAGCGCATACTCTAGCCTTGCCATGTACGAGCTTGAACTCAAAGCGCGTAATCGCTGCTGGAGGAAAGTTGTTCCGCAATCAAATCAAAAGAAAAGGAGGTTGTCGGTGGTGTCGGAGAATGGTAGCGGCTAGAGTGCATCGCTAAAGAGGCGACTATCAGGTGCCCTAAGTAACACCTGCCCAAAAACCTTTGATCGCCTAGAGTGCATTGCCGAAGAGGTGAATATATAGTGAAGGACTTTAGTTCCGCACGTATTATTTACAGTGTGATTTCTGGCCAAACAATAGTGGGCAATTCGAAATCTGGCAAAACTACCACTGCCACGGTTACTTGTGACCACTTGCCTTGCTAAAAAGGCCAGGAAGAGAAAGTCTGAAGCAGAGAAAGCTTTGACTAAAAAGGCTGAAGATAGCGCAAGAGGACAAACACGAGTCAATAACAGTGTAGCTTTTCAGCAATGGAGGCGACTCAGGGAGTTCAAAGGCCTGAAAAGTGGTGCAATGGTTGCAGTCTTTATGTTGGACAGGTAAGTTGTGGTTTTGCTTTTGGTGGAAGGTTAGTTAATTTCACGAATTGTTTAGCTAAGTTAACCATTTCTGCTATGTCAGTCATTTGACCCTTATTTAACCAGGGAAGTCCCGTTGAGATTGAAATCTCTTTTTCAAGGGAGCCCAGGGGGTTGAGGTGGGGAGGGAGAGGGCTATTTGCACAGCCAATTCGATCGGGGGATGATTAGGTGGCAGGTTGAAGAAGCCAGGTTGGGACTTTAGCCATGACACCGGGGAACCCCCTACTCTTATTGATGAGTGTCATAGGATCTTTAATGACCACAGTGAGTCAGGACCTCGGTTTAACATCTCATCCGAAAGACGGCGTCTCCTTCAGTACAGTGTCCCCGTCACTGCACTGGGGCATCGGGATTATTCCACCAGAGGAAAGATCGCAACCTACTGGCCCACCAACACCTCTTCCAGCATCAACTTGGTTTTCCCAGGTGGTCACCCATCCAAGTATTAACCAAGCCCACACCTGCTTAGCTTCAGCCACGCGGCTGGAGCAGATCGAATAGTGGTATGGCTGCTGGCAGTCATATACTCCCAATGCTAACGGTAGCTTTCCTGTCTATCCAGGCTAGTAAGTTACATTAGCGAATGTATGATTGAATACACCTTTCTAACAAAACCCTAACTTGTATCATGCAACATGGTTGCCGGTGTCAGAACACGTGTGGCTTTGGAAGGAGCCCTTAGGACAGGTGGTGGGCTTAAGCAGAGCCCTGAGGAGATGCTACTTTCAAATCCTGCTAGCTTTAGAATCTTACCTACCCTGCCTTTAATAACTAGATACATTTCAAATAATCAGGTTTAATTAATTCTGGTGGCCGCGTGCTGGAGGACCTGAGAGTTACACCTTTCAGGATTTTTAGCCTCAGGCTTTTAATCATCTGTCAAAGCCTTATAATCAAACTTCAGTGAAAAGAAAACTAGAAATGCCACTGGCACTCTGGAACCAGACAGTGTTTGACAGACTGGTCTGCAAAAGCTGTCCTCTCCATCTCCACCACAGCTGATAAGCAGTAAGCTTCTGGCACAAAATGGCTACTCTGCACCACACCACATTGCAGGTGCCACACAAGACCTCCCCACTTATTGCTATAAGGCACTGCCAGTCCCTAGGCGAGGAGAGCAACCTGTTAAAAGTTTTAGGTCAGTGTTTCTGCAATGAATTCCATCGCATTGGTTTTGAAATGAAACTATCAATATGATGACAATCTGCCAACCTGCCAATCTGCCAAATTTAAACTGCCTCAGTTTAAATTTGCAATAACCTGAGCATATAGAAAATTAGAAGTGCTGTGTATATTTACTTAAAGAAAGACATAATTAGTTGAAATATAAAAAATGGAGGAAATCTCCGGATTGCAGAAAAATCTTGCCTATTGTACTTGTCAAGACTATGAATGAATACTTTCAAGCATCACTTTCCGGCCCTCAGTTTTTAAGTTATTTACTGTGAAGGTAATGCTGTATCATGGGGCCTCCATATTTGTCAGCTCGCAAAGCATCTTGGGAGTGGGATGTCATCTGGTTACTTAGGTGTATAATACAAGCTGTCTGAAGGACACCCAAGTAAGTAAAGAGTCGTAAAATCTCCAGAAACATCCTGCAGATGACATCAAACTCCCAAGATGCTTTGCGAGCTGACAAATATGGAGGCTCCAAGGAAATTCGAACCATGACAAAACCTTATTTTGCAGAAAATAAAATAAAAACTAAAGGCCTAACAGCAATGACTTTGCTTGAGAGTATTTATTCAGAGTCTGACCAGCACAAGTAAGATTTTCCTACATTCCAGAGGTTTCCTTTTAATCAATAAGTACTGCAGCCCCCCTTTGCTGTTAAAATTGCATCTATTCTTACACAGAGCCCTGCAGTTTTATAAGGCAATGGGAAGGGAGGTTGCAACAAGAACTACAGAATTTGTCACAGTGTTTCTGTAGACTAGCTCACCATGTAATCCCAGGCTCTGTAAATACCACACCAGCTGTTACTTTTTTGATGAAACACAATCAATTCTACATCACATTTTTTGAAAATGAATGTTTAGAAACGTTAATGCACTCTTTATTATTAAAACATTAATTCAATGCCACAAAGAATGCACGTTGTGATCCAAGGCAGTCAAATAAAATATTAGAGTGTGACTTTTTTTTGGCCAGACAGTGTACTTTGGATTTATTGACTGCTTGAAGTCGGTGACCCAGAGATCACAAGATAAACGGTGTCAATGGCCCAGTGCTTTTGATGGGCAGTGTAAATGTGAAGAATTGGACCGACCTGTAGTTGCCCTTGCCGTCGTCTTCCCGCACTTCCAGCGAGACGGTGAAGGTGTACATGTCCCCATCAGGGGAGAGGGGCGCTGCGGCATCTCGGACGTCCGGTGCAGGTTTGGAGGAACGCCGGAACGCCGTGGAGAAACTGTACAATATCCGGCTCACCTGCAGACGGAAAAGGGGGAGAATGAGAAAGAGGGAAGAGCCCGGAGTCAGCAGTGAAAACGAGTACTCCTCCTGTACCCTCTGCAACCACAACCACCAAGCAGTTCTAAGCAGCAAGATCCATCAGATAAGGGTGTCAAGGTCCACACAAAGTCCAAACTACCAATTTCAATTGAACCAGGTCTCTTTATACTGTAGATTTCGGAAATGGTATGTTTGTAGGAGGAGAGTGAACACACACCGGAGGTTTGTGTCAGGTGCAGGGGACAGAGAAGGTAATTTAAAATAAAAAGGAACACCGCACACTCAGACTCCAATGTTGCGACGTTGTTGTCACAAAAAATTATTGCATTTGGAGTCTGAGGCGTTCCTTTTCATTTTAGGAAATGTTGAGTTTATCTACAACAGGGCTGGCCAATCCCACTCCTGAAGACTATCTATAATATTGGAGTCATGTTCAGGGACAAATTGACGATTTATACCGATGCTGCTCAAGACCGGGTCAGAAAATCTGAACCCAGGTGAGGATCAAACTCACGACTGAGGATTCCATCCCACCGCTCTACCAAACAAGCCACCAAGTCCAGTTGGGAGCAATTCGCTATTTATCCCTGAAGATGACTCCAATATGGAATCGAAATACTGTGTCTTAAAAAAATTAATTGAGCTTCCAAGTGTTCATCGTGACAATATGTCGTGTACAATGTGGTCTTGTGAGATCAAACTTGCCAACTGCTCCCAACTGGACTCGGTAGCTCAATCGGTAGAGCAGTGGGACGAAATCCCTAAGTTGTGAGTTTGATCCTCACCCGGGTTCAGATTCTCTGACCCGGTCTTGAGCAGTGACAGTATAAATCGTCAAAAGACCTACCATCCCACAGGTTTTCATTTCCACCCTAACTTCGCCCACTAGGCTCTCCTTGCTCATTCACAGCTCAGTGCAGGAATCTAGATGTTAAATGAGGTGTGTTTCCCGAGGTTTGGAGTTAAAAACCTTGGGTTGGGCAGCCATGACTAGGAACATTTGTCGGCTCCATTTAAATAGGACACACCCAAGGACAAGCTATTGCTCGATTATCTTGTTTTTCAATATTTTTTCTTTTTGTTCTCTTTTTCCTGTTCCTCCTTCTCTTTTCTCACACAGATTTTAAAAAGCATGAAATAACTTACAAAAGGAAACCAACCATTTTCTTTTAAATTAAAGCATTCTGCAAGAAAGAGTAGCCAAAACTCTTCTGAGCCATAATAAAAGACTCATATCATATTACAGGAAGTTATTGCAGCTGGGGAGAGGGAACCAGTTGAAACTCAACAATTAGTTATTAACAAAGAAGTTATGGGTGTATGGATAAACGAAACATTAAGTTCAAACGTGTTTTTTGTTGAGCTTAACATTTTTTGTTTTTAAATCTGACACCACTGCGTGTGACAAATGCAAAAAAAAAAAAAAAAAAGCAAATTAGGAAAAGGGCAAATATTTTTTCCGTGCAATGCACAAGTCAACATGCCCATTCTCAGGTTTCCCATGTGTCGCCCAGGGCTACATTTGAGCCAGGGCTGTCAAACCTCAGTCCTGGAGGGAGTCAATGTCTGCTGTTTTTGGTGCGTTTCTGCACAGATCATCTATTTAAGCCTAAAAAAGTCCATCACACCACTGATTCTCAAGACATTAATCGGCTGCTAACTAAAAGGAGACCACAATGTCTGTGGACAGTGCAGCCCTCCAGGACCGGAGTAAGACACCCAAGATCTGGAATCAAAATGGCCGCACTGGAAGCTGGACTCACGGCCTCCTTGATGTGGCAAGAGAACACATGTATTTGGAAGTCCTCGCTGCTACGGTAGCTTTCGGTGAAGGAGAAGCAGTCGCTCTCCGGAGATCCCTCGTGGCCCCGCGCACAGAACAGCACTTTGTAGATTGGGAAAGAGGCGATCTCCGTCCCGGTCGCCTGGTCCACAATCCTGCCCAACAGAAGAGGACAGGAAGGGAGGCTATAGCTGCGCTTACTGTGCTGAACACTTCTATTGTCCTCGTTTTCTGCTCAGGCTTCATTCCCTTTGGGTCAAAAATGGGCCGCAGTTCCCAAGCCAAATATTTACATTAAAAATTGCAATTATACACATTTTCTAAGGTTTCAATTGAAGGAATATCAAAATTTTATGTTGAAAAAATGTGATTCAGGGGTTTGTAACTGGCCTCAAAGTCAAATACAGATCATTTTTGACCCAAAAACAGGAGGGTTACAAAAGAGTATAAAGAGACTGCAACACCCAATTTTTTTTTTTTTAATCATACAAGCATGTTCTCACTTAAATGTCTGTCTTGCATGCAATAGCCACTTGATAAGGATGTGTAATACTTCAAACACCAAGCTACACTGACATTATTGTGTTTAGCATGTTGAAGTGAATGTAACTTCCTCTCTAATATCAATACATTTTAATCTAAATTGAATTAAACAATTTGAGCTAAAGCAATTACAAAACAAATACGGATGATGCTTCATTTCCGTTTATCAAAGTAGTATCAATATCATGGGCTTTTGAACAGTAGCAGCCAACTCCGTTCCTAGAGCATTAAAAGTCCATCAGGCTTTCAGTCCAGCGCTCTCAAACCTCACCTGAATCAACAGCGAGAGCTTTTGGAGCTGCCAGTTAGAAGGGAGAGACCAGCCAAATTACAGCTGAAATGAAAACTGACATGAAGATACATCTCCAGGAACAGGGCTGGCCGCCACTACCCAACACCAGCTAATTGAAGATGAGTGGCAAAGTTACATAAAGAAGAAAATTAACTGCAGGTGAGTGCAGGCGGTGCCATAACCCTGGCGACCCACCTGACGGAGCCCTCAGGCACGTTGGGCACGTAGAGGGTGACGGGTATGGGCACGGCGCTCTCCGCCCGCAGCGTGGCCATGGCCTTCTGCGCCTCGGACTCGCTTCGCGGCGCCTTCACCCAGGTGCAGCCCAGGTACGACAGCTTGCTGAACTGGACGCCGTCCTCCTCCTTTGGTGCTGGGCCTCCCCCCGGGCATGCCAACGCCTCTGTGTGAGGAAATTAGGGGCACTTTTTACTCATGGATACGCAAAGCGTCAAAACCAGTTAATATGGGGACTCGGATATGCAAATGAGTCACTCGGCAGTAAGCAGATGTTATTTTGCAAGCTACCTCAACTGAGCTTGAAGTCCCTTCCATGAGGGCTTTTTAATTTTCACAATATCCACAAGTTGGCTGTAGGAAACCTTTGATTGTTGTATGCGTTTCTTTCATTGGTATCAATTGGCGCTCGGCTAGGCAGGACAAGTGTAGAGGTGGCACTGTTTTTCAAAAAGTCAAGTTCGGAACCACTGCACAGCAATGAAGATGTTGTGGAGATTTTGGTTACAGCAGTGACAGACTCCAATTCAACTCTTAACAAATGAATTCAAGATTACTCCATCTGTTCCACTACTGTGAAAGATCACACCAGAAAGGGGGGCACACAGCAACATTTTGCAGTTAATACTTTGGGCCAGCATGCAGACACAGATTAAGCAAATGACTAAATTACTAAATTCAGCTAGACTTCAGCTGTGTCTGTGCACTATATGACGTTGCAAACCTGAAGCACTGATTTACAACCCCAATTCCTAAATAGCTGGGACCTTTAGCACCTATTTCGGCATTGGGGTTGTATATTAATGCTGGACTCTATTGAAGTTTGGATTGACAATCTCCATTCAAAGGTGGATATTATGCACACAGAACTCTTTTCAGTCAAGGACTACATTTAATCTGCCCGCCAAGTATTCTTGTTTTCTCAGTCCGTAGATCTGATACGACTCAGGGCCCGATTTTTCCTATCATACGCGACACACACAAGGATCATTTTAACATCATCCAGAATTCATCAATGGGAAGTGGTTCTTCTGTGTATATTTGATCATATCCACACGCTATGTGATAGCCCCATCTCACCGTAACATCAAGGGAGGCAATTTGTGAAAGGCCAGCTCAGCTTCAATACTAATACTGTCACCCTATGTCAGGGCGGTTCACACGTCACCTAATTGATTTTGCTTACTTTTGTTAAAGCGTTCGCCTTTATTTTGCGGACATTAATATAGCATTTTATTTATTGCATTAAAGACTTCTTTGGTGCATATTTGTTGTTTTAAAAAAAATCTAACTCATGCAGGGTGTTAACTAAGGCAACAATATCCAAGTTTGAAAAAGTAAACCTGTTACTACATGATGCACCAGTGCGGGATACCTCATCCTAGTCTTTATAAGAATGTATTAGCCGGCACATGACAAGAACCATGTCCTGTACGACAAAGTCACATCAACACGGAGTCATCGTGATCACTTGGGTGTCAGTGGGATGTTACCATTAATTTAACAGTGTAAAATAGCACATTTCATTTGCTATATTAGTTGCATAAATTCTTTTTTTCATGACTTGTTGTCATAGCTGCGACAGATATGCTTGTTGCCACTGTAGAGGGCCAAAAGAAACACCTGTTACTATCATCCCAATAATGAAACCTGACAGTGAAACCTCTCTTGTTTCAGTACTGAAATGACATGGCAAAAATCAGGATGTGGTAAAGTATTAAATAATCAGTCAAATGATCATGACTATGACACATGAAACAATAAACGCAACTTGTTATTCAAAAAAAATTATTACCACTTGAGTGAACGCATTACCACAATCCAAATCAGCTTTTTGAGTAAAACTGCACGATTGTATGATGCATCTACATCATTCTTCGCAGCTCTAGTAAATGTTGCATGCTGTATGTGCGGACACAGTTCGGCATATCAGACTTGTATGGGCACGGAGAAAATCATTGTGTTACTTTCCTCCCATTTTTCCCCTACATGATGTACAGTGTAACTGGCTACCAAAAAATGCATTTCTGGAATTTACAAAAAAAACTATATATCATTTTATACTAATAGAAGAAATTAAAAATAGGCACATAAGGCCAGGGCAGTTGTTATTTTCAGATTCAGATTCAGATAACTTTATTTGTCCCCAAGGGGCAATTTAAAAAAGGCATGAGAGTAGCTTATGAACAGGCATCTATTAACACTCACAATACAACAGACAACATTCACAGACTAAAAAAAACACATAAATAAATCAACAAATTATGAAGTGCACGCACTATTAAAATTGTGCATACATACAGCAGCAACAGAGCTTATGACCGGTCAGTGTTCAGCGTTTAGGAGCTGGACCGATCTGGAGAGGAATGTTGTCTTCCTCCTCTGCGTCCTGCAGCCTGGACAGCGGAGTCTGTGTCCTGAGGGGAGCCACTCAAACTCAGGAAACAGAATATGGGAGGGGTCCTGTAGAATCCTGCAATCTGCTTGTCACATAGGTTGGGAAGAGAACCAATAGGCTTTTCAATGATTTTTGAGCAGACTTTGACCACGTTCAGCAGACGGTTTCTGTTCTGCAGAGTGATAAAGTGGAACCAGCAAGTGAAAGAAAAGGTCTTTACATTTTCAAAGAAAGCAGAATAGAATGTGGTAAGAATGTCCTTGTTATTCCCGAATGATTTCAACTTCCTGAGTAAGTACTGTCTCTGATGGCATTTCTTCAGGCTTCCCTCAGTGTCAGAGGAAAACCTCAGCAAATTGTCAAAGATTGTTCCCAGGTATTTATACTCGTCCACAATCTCCACTGGCTCCCCCTGTATGATGGTGGTGACTGCCTCAGCCATCTGTCTCTGTTTTGGGGGGAAAAGTCACCATCACCTCCTGGGTTTTGTTTATGTTGAGTTCGAGGCAGGAGTTTCCACACCACTCCACAAAATTCTGC